CACACACACACACACACACACACACACACACACACACACACACACACACACACACCAAATAATTATATTAGTCTATCGATTAAATATTTGAATATACTGTTTAATTTAATAGGTTTGTCAATGGAGTTGCAATTAAAACTGGTCATCGCTTCCGTACAACACATGATTTTGGTTATGTGGCTCTTGATATTCTTTATACCTATCCTGAAGATTCTGGTACTTACATGTGTAAAGCAACCAATTTGGCTGGAGAAGCCGTTAATACTTGCACTATCAAAGTTAGCTGTAAGTATCTAGTGGTATATCATTAGCTAATCACATTAATTTAATATATTCATACATGTCAGTTTTATACTAATTGTTCTGCGTAATTGTTAGTAAAAGATGCACAATATCCGAAATCTAATTTTCTATCTGTGAAAAATGAGAAAATATTTGTCAGAAATGGTGAAAATTCATCAACAAAACAATAATCATTTGTCGAATAAATGGCGGAAGTTTAATATCTTACAAACAAGGTTTTCGTCAAAAATTCCATTCAAAATTCTTATAATACAAATTCTCCCTCTCTTTCTGACAGCATAAAGATATTATACATCTTACACGATATTACACGATGTTCGAAGATACAGCAATTTAAACAATATTAATTTCTCGGAGTTCAAAAATTATCGTAAAATCGGATTTATCTTTTCAAAAAAGCAAAAGCACAAAGTTGATAATAAAATGCTATTACTCTGAAAAGCAAGGCAGGTAAGATTTTTCTTTCTCATTGTAGCCCGGCGAAGCATCCTTCTGGATACTCAACATCCAGATGGTTTAGAAAAAATTCGAGAATTAGAGGCCCAAGGTCATCCTGCGCGATTGGAGATCGAAGAACCACCAGTAACACCACCAAGATTTATCACTGAACTTAGGGTATATATAATAATAATAATGATAATAATATATATATAAGCAACTATTATAGATGATGTAGCAAATATAAGATGTACACAATGAACAAATACAATGAATGGAATGAAATAAATACGAGAAATTTTTTAGGGCACAACTGAAGTATACGAGGGACAAACAGCTCACTTTGAGTGTCAAGTAGAACCTTTGCATGACGCAAATTTAAGAATTGAATTTTTCCATAATGGTAAACCATTACCATCGGCAGCCCGTTTCCATGTGACTTTTGATTTTGGGTATGTTGCTTTGGACATTGGTCATGCCGTACCTGAAGATGCAGGACAATATTCTGTACGAGCGATCAACACGCTAGGACAATGCGTATCATCAATCGAGCTCAAGGTAATCCCACGAGATAATATTATTCTGGATTCCCAACGTCCCGAAGGAATGGACAAAATCCGGGAACTTGAAGCCCAACAGCCATGGAAGAGACCAGATGTACCAGAGCCTCAAACTCGACAACGACCGGTCTTCACTCAACCTTTGCAAAATATTGACAATATTGCCGAAGGTCATACTGCACATTTCGAATGCAGACTTATACCCGTGGGTGATCCTATGCTCAAAGTGGAATGGTTCAGAAATGAAGTGCCTCTTGAAACAAGTAAGAATTATTAAACATAAGTAAAAAAAGATATTTTAAAACTCTGCCAAATATTATGCGATGTAATCTATATAATTGCAACGTATCTATAATATAATTGATACATAAGATAAACTTTCATTGTAATTTCAGGTTCGCGGATTACAAAAGTGCATGACTTTGGCTATGTATCTCTGGATATTGCTCATGTGCGTGATGAAGATGAAGGCGTTTATATGTGTCGTGCTTCTAATCCGTTGGGTGAAGCAGTTACCACGGCTTCAATGAAAATTAAAAGTAAATCATTTAACGTTAATTAATATTTAATTTCAATTATCAAAAATGATTTGATTGAAATACGATTATTAATATCTTTGATTGAAATACGATTATTAATATCTTCGATCTATTATTTATATTTAATATTTATATTTAATATATATATATATATTTAATATATATTTAATATTTATATTTAATACAGCTAAGGCGAGCATACAATTAGATACTCAACATCCCGAGGCACAACGTAAAATCGCTCAGCTGGAAGCCAAAGAGACTGGACGACCCGAGGAACCGGAAAAGATTTTCGATAAACCGATTTTCACGCAATTGCTAACTGGACCAACTGAACTTTGGGAAGGACAAATGGCGAGATACGAATGTAGGGTCGTTCCCGTTGGTGATGCGAGTTTAAAATTTGAGTGGTATATGAACGGAATAGAATTAAAAATGGGTAAGACAATATTTTCTAATTATATATACATAAATCATTTTTAATATTATATATATTATATTGTAAATACTTGGCGTTAATAAAATCGTTGGGTATCAATATTTAGGATCACGTTTCCATGTGAATCACGATTTTGGATATGTAACATTAGACATTCTAAAAGTTATCCCTGAAGACTCTGGAGTTTACACTTGCAAAGCGATTAACAATGCTGGAGAAGCAGTGTCATCGATTTCTCTGAAAGTAAAAGCGCGTTCAGCTATCGATTCCGATAGCATACAAGCGGACGCGTGGCAGAAGATTCAATTGAAAGAAGCAGAAATGAATAAAGTGCCGGAAATGTTTGTTGATACAACACCGCAGCAAGCGCCAGTTTTCACTAAACATCTCGAGAGTTTCGACAAATTGATAGAGGGCCAACGTGTCTATTTAGAAGCTCAAGTGGAACCGCGGGCGGATCCTAACTTGAGGGTAGAATGGTTCAAAAATGGTATATCTCTTCAAACTGGAACGAGGCTTCGTAGTACGTTTGATTTTGGTCTAGTAACTTTGTCGATTAATGGCCTAAGACCCGACGATTCCGCAATTTACACGTGTAAGGCGACTAATCTTTTGGGAGAAGCCGTATCGACTTGTAGTTTAAAAATTGCCGATCGTCATTGGTTATTGGGAGATACTTTGCATCCCGACGCTCTCTCAAAAATTGATGCTTTGGAACAGCCACAAATAATATCTACCGAACAACCAGAACCTACTTATGAAGAACCGGTTTTCATCACTCACTTAAATAATGTGGAATGCATCGAGGGTGATAACGCTCATTTTGAATGCAACGTAGAACCATCAAAAGACCCGACTATGAAGATTGAATGGTTCTTGAACAGTAAACCTTTACCGATTGGTGCGAGATTCAAGAGCACTTACGACTTTGGTTACGTAGCTCTGGACTTGACTCACGCTTACGAAGAAGATTCGGGCGTGATTACGGTTAAAGCTACGAATTCAAAGGGAAGCGCACAGACATCAGGTACTTTGAAATGCACTAGCAAGCAAAATATTTATCTTCAAACGCAACATCCGCAAGGAGAAGCCGGATTTGAGAAAGTGAAAGAGGCTGAAGATGCTTATCTATCGAAATATAAGAAACCGGAAGATAGTCCTGAGCACGAATATCCTAAGCCGATCTGGACGGTTCCTCTCCAGTCTGAGTTTAAATTAGGAGAGTCCGAACCATTACATCTAGAAGGACAAGTTGAACCAAAAGATGATCCCAATTTAAAAATTGAATGGTACTTTAACGGGAAACCTTTAGAGCATGGTTCACGTTTTAAAATGACTAGCGACTTTGGATTTGTTACTTTAGACTTAACGGATGTTTATGAGCGTGATTCTGGCATTTACACATGCAAAGCCTATAACAAGGCAGGGGAAGCCTTTACTTCAACAACAGTTTATTGTTCCACGAAAGAAAATATCATAGAAAAGTCACAGCATCCCAAAGGTAAGGAAGGTCTCGAAGCAATTCAAGATCTGGAGGAATCATTGAAACGACAAGAAGGTATTTCACCAGGAGAGGAAGAAGGTCAACCACCAATGTTTACATCACAATTTGAGAATCTGAGCAATCTCTCAGAAGGAGAAATTGCTCACTTTGAAGCATCTCTCATTCCCACTGGTGATCAAACTATGGTAGTTGAGTGGTTTTATAATGGCAAATCTTTAGAAGCTAGTCATCGCACGAGAACCGTTTATGCTTTTGGCATGGTTGTCCTTGAGGTTCTCGGCACTAAAATAGAAGATTCAGGTACTTACACTTGTAGGGCCACTAACAAGTGGGGTAAAGCAGAAATTAGTGTACAATTAGAATGTATCGATAAATCCAAGGGCCAGAAACCTAAATTCACAACTCAGATTCAATCCTTGGAGGGTCTGAAAGATGGTCAATCAGCTCATTTCGAGTGTACTCTAATCCCAGTGGGTGATCCTCACATGAAAGTCGAGTGGTTCCACAATGGAAAACCTCTACGGCACTCGTCACGTTTCAAAATGGTCTCTGATTTTGGCTTCGTAGTTATGGATATTGCTGGTGTGATGTCTCATGATAGCGGGGAATACGTTTGCAAAGCTAGCAATAAATACGGAGAGGATTATACAAAAGCCTCGATCAAATGCTTTGGCAAGAGCGGAGTTTACTTAGATTCCCTGCAACCGGACTCGCTAGCTAGAATCCGAGAGCTTGAGAGTTATGCCGGAGAACAAGCAACTACACCTACGACTCCCATTGCCGAACCACCAAAATTCATTACGCAAATTGTTGACATCACGAAACTAATAGAAGGACAATCCGCACACTTTGAGGCGAAACTGACTCCAGTGAATGATCCTGACTTGAAAGTCGAGTGGTATTATAATGGCAAGAAACTTCCACATGGTCATCGATATCGCACTTTTCATGACTTTGGTATCGTTATCTTAGACATACTTTATTGTTACGAAGAGAATTCCGGAGTTTATGAATGTAAAGCTGTTAATAAGTACGGCGAAGATTCAACAAGAGCAATGCTCAAATGCTTCTCTAAGGCTAATCTTGTTTTGGAATCCCAACTTCCTAAGGGCATGGAAGGTGGCCTAGAAAAAATTCAAAATCTTGAAGACTCGATGATACGTACAAAGGACGAAAAGATTATAGAAGAACGTGGCAAGGCTCCCATGTTCACTGTACCTTTAAGTAACATTGATGGCCTACGAGAAGGAGAGAGCGCGCATTTCGAAGCACGACTAATTCCCACAGATGACCCAAAACTAAAAGTAAGTAAAATATCTTTGAACATATATATATATATATATATATATATTACTCTATATATTACTGGTTTTACAAATAAGCCTTTTCAGACGACAGACGCTGACTTTTTTCATTCTTTGAATTTTGAATTAAGCTACCAAAAGATGATTTTTCATGCAAAAAAAATTGCTCAACCGTTGCACTTACACATGATGTCTCATTTTGATGGAATAAAATATTTTGGTAATAACGCATTTCTCCCAAAAATATTTCGAACAAAAATTACTTGATTTCGAAAAAAATGTAAAATAGCGATTTTTATTTGACCTTGGGAGTTTTTGCAAAAGTCATATCAAATCTTGATTAAATTTTTTAAATGAAATTGTATGATTTTTATACGTAAAAATCGATTCCTTTCATCATTCTGCATAGTGTTAGTGCAAAAAGTAAATATAATCAAAAGGTAAATATTTTACAAACTAATTTATATATTTCATATAAAATATTTCCTATTCTTTATCATGTGATACTTTAAATAAATAAAATTAAAGCGAGATACTTTAGATAAATAAAGTTATTGCGTGTGCGTATATGCTAAAATAGCTAAAATAGCTATGCTAAAGATAGAAATAAAAATGTCTTCATTTTTCTAAAATTTTTAATTAATGCTTCCTTAATAGTAGATAACAGAAAACAAATGAAGTTATTATAATTGAAGTTATTATAATTTTACCGAACAAATTAACTGAAATTATTGTAATTTTATTCAATGTAATTAACTACATTGAGTAAAATTATAATAATTTCAGTTAATTTGTTTGGTAAAAATAAACCAAGTAACTTTTGTTCAAAAGATTTTTGTCAGAAGTCCGTTATTGCCGAATTATGATGGAATATTTTATCATTAAAAATGAGACACTGTATAAAAGCACTAACAGTTAATATTGTGCAATTGTTTCTTTGCATGAAAAATTATCTTTTGATATCTTGAATGAGACACTGTATAAAAGCACAACAGTTAATATTGTGCAATTGTTTTCTTTTGCATGAAAAATTATCTTTTGATATCTTTTATAATAATTTAAAATCCAAAGAATGAAAAAAAAATCAGGTGTCTGACACCTGAAAAGGTTTACTTGTCAATATAAATAATCTGCGTGTATTTGTATATGTGTTATTTACGTATTATTCATATCGCACATTACATTGTTTCCTTTAATATAGGTCGAATGGTTCTGGAATGGTAAACCATTGCGAACAGGATCTCGCTTCCGCACCTTTTGCGATTTTGGTTTCGTCATTTTAGAGATCTCTCCCATCTATCCAGAGGACTCTGGAGAATATAGTTGCAGAGCGACAAATGACTATGGCGAGGCGGTGACAACATGCACAATGAAATGTACAGGCAAACGTAGTATTATTCTGGAATCTCAATTACCTAAGGGTATGGAAAGTACGATTGATAAGATCGCCGAGTTGGAAGGTCTTGGAGCTGTTCCTGGTCAGATTAGTCCCGAGGATGATACTGGAAGACCACCAGAGTTCATCACGACTCCTTCTGATTTGACTTTAGCTGAAAATTCTCTTGCTCACTTCGAATGCCGATTACAGCCAATTAACGATTCCAGTATGAGAGTTGAATGGTTTCACAATGGCAAGCCTCTTCTTGCTGGTAGTAGAGTCAAAACAATTCATGACTTTGGTTTCGTTATTCTGGAAGTCGCAAATTGCTATCAACGCGATTCTGGTTTATACACCTGTAAAGCTACCAATCGTCACGGTGAAGCCACGGTATCGTGCAAACTTCAAGTTCGCGGACGTCAAGGTATTATCCTGGAGCCTCAGTTACCGAGCAATTTTAAGACTGGTACAGAAAGTATTCAGAAATTGGAAGAGTCCTTATATAAGAAAGATGAAATTTTGGCGGAGGAAGAAACACCAAATCCACCAAGATTTATCGTCGAACTTAAAGATATCGAAGTTGAAGAAGCTGGACCGAGTCACTTCGATTGTAGAGTTGAACCTGTGGGTGATCCCACTATGCGTATTGATTGGTTCCACAATGGACGGCCTTTTGCAACAGGCTCTCGGGTTCATCAGATTAATGATTTTGGATTTATATCATTGGATATGTCATACACGTATGCACGAGATAGCGGTGAATATGTCTGCAGAGCTACTAATAAATGGGGCACTGCTACTACCAAAGCTACCATCACTTGCAAATGTAAGTTACGCAACTTAATAATTTATTAACTTTTGGTTGAAAGATATACATTTATATTTGCACTTTATATTATTACAGTATAAACTTCCTTTATATTATTATAGTGTAAGTCAAAAATAATTTTTTATTTCTCTTTGCTTCTCTCTTCCTTTTTAGCCAAGAAGACAATAGATTTTGACTCTCAATTGCCAATGGGAATGAGCGGTGAGAAGCTAAAAGAATTAGAGCGAGGACCAGTCTCTCAAGCTCCTGCGGAAGAAGCACCGCGACAACCACCTCATTTTATCACTCAAATTCAATCAACAACAGTCGACGAGGGTGAACCAGTTAGATTTGAATGCCGTGTGGAGCCCAAGGAGGATCCGAATCTACGTATCGAATGGTACAGAAATGGTAAATTGATACCCGCCGGGCACAGATACAGAACGGTTTACGACATGGGATTTGTGTCGATGGATATCTTATATGTTTATCCCGAGGATTCTGGTGAATATGTTTGCAAGGCTATTAATGATCTTGGAGAAGATATTACTCGAGCTGCTGTATCTTGCAAAAGTATGTTTCTAATCTCTCTTTCATTTCTTATTTTTGTCAAATTACATGTATCGAGATGTAGATTCTTCATATTAATTATTTTTTCGCAGAATTACCAAGTATCATTTTGCAAAATCAAGTACCAAAAGGTATGAAAAGATCTGAAGCCTTGATGCAAATGGAAGCAACAATTAAGAAGTATACTTCCGAAATTCATTTAACTGAGGATGATTTGTATGACGCGGACAAAAAGCAGCCCCCTAGATTTGTCACACAAATTCAAGATCAAACCGATCTTATTGAAATGAATAGCACCAAGTTTGAGTGTCAATTGGCGCCCGTGGGTGATCCAAATATGAAAGTCGAATGGTTCTTCAATGGGAAACCATTACCTCATAAGAATCGATTTACTCCTATTTATGACTTTGGTTATGTAGCAATGAATTTTGGTTGGGTTTATCCAGAAGATAGTGGCGAGTATCTGTGCAGAGCTACAAATCTTTATGGAATGGACGAAACCAGGGCCATAATTAGAACTGCGGGAAAACCTGGAATTATTTATGAATCTCAACTTCCAAAAGGCATGAAGAGCATCGAAAAAATCAGAGAAATGGAAGCAGCATGGCAAATGTAAGATATTAATTTATGTCTTATTAATACACAAAAAAACTGTTTTTCAAGTAATACTCATAAGATAGCATCTATTGTTATCTTTTATGCGTGCGTACATGCGTGCGCGTGCGTTTCTCTTGAGTATTGCTAGTTTTCAGAAAATAGGATTTCTTGAAAGAAAAAAAGATTGTTGACCGAATAATATATTTATTACATTACATTACAACAAAGCAACATAAAATGTATACGACGTGTGCATTATTTAAAAACATTATTTGCACTTTACAGAGTGCCCGAAGAGGAAGGCGAAGAGGAAAAAGTACGCTCGGCGCCAATTTTTGTAAGTAAACCAGAAGCGGTAACCGTCGAAGAAGGTGATTGGTCTAGATTCTGCTGTCGAGTTACTGGACATCCAAGACCTCGAGTTATGTGGATAATTAATGGACATACAGTAGTCAATGTAAGTTTTAAAATATCATTTCCGATATATAAACAATATCAACCATTCTCACGAGAATATTATTATAATGCAGTTATATTAAATTTTTTTCGCAGGGGTCGCGTTATAAATTGACATACGACGGCATGTATCATCTGGATATACCAAAGACTAGACAATACGACCATGGTAAAGTGGAAGTAATTGCAAGGAGTTCTGTTGGTGAAGCACGTACAGAAACGACTTTAACTGTCAAACAGAGAAGCGACGACTACCGGGGTGTATTGAAAAATTCACCAAGACGTAAGTTTTCACCAGTTTCCAGTTATCATATACATGTACGTTTACGAATTCTTCGTGTCACGATAAAATAAAGTATACTCTTATAGAGCAATGAGATTGTACATAAGAAAAATATAAATACGAAAGTAAAAATTATTGATTAATAATTTTCTTTCTTGAGAAAGAAGAAGAACTATTACGAAGAATTCACGTACAGTATAATAATAAAATAGTAATAATTTCAAGAGTTTGCAACGGTAAATATATCACATAAAAATAAAAAACGTGATTATAAGCCTTCAATAACAATTCGCGACAAGCGAGTGTAAATTGAAAAGTACGAGCAACTAAAAACACAGTACATAATATATATCGATACGACACATACATACTATTCGAATACAAGAAAACACTCTAGACCATTCAAACATAAACGATCCCTTCCTTCCTGCTCTCCATTTGGCATTCCAAAAAAAGCCACAAAAATCACCTCAACATCCAACAGCTTCTTCTGCTTCTCCTTCTTCGTCATGGTTGGAAATATCGACAGGAATATTAGACCGATATCATCTTAGATCAAAGGTATTGTATTTTTCACACCGCAGATATTCAGGTATGAAATAAAAAGTTGTGAAGAAAACATTGGTATTGTTTTACATTTTATTAATGTTTTTTCTTATAAATATAATTATATATTGTTGCGCTGGAAGACACGGGTTGCTCATTAAATTATTTTATCTAATCTCAATTTATTTTATATGATATCTCTCTCAAGATAACATATAAAATTATTTCTCAATCTGTATTAAGGATATTTATTTAATGTTTATTTTATTCATGCATTATATTTTATGCATTATATTCATTGCTTATATTCACTGTTGCCTCAGTCTTATAGTTTACTAAAGTATAGCAATTTAATAAATTATTGTTTATTAAAAATACAAATATCGAGCAGATTTCCGTATCTCTCAATATTGCGCAATATGATTTGACTCTAATTTCCATTATGTGTTTAATTTATCGTTTTAATTTTTGTTTTTCTGTTTTCTTCTTTGTTTTTTTTTATAGATATGCATTACCCTTCTTTGATGCCTCGCACAGAAAGTAGCGAGGAATTGAATATTAAAATTAATTCCATAAAAGAAGGAAAATTCAATGTTATAAGAATTATTTGATTAATTAGATGAAAGAACTTCGCAATTCAATAGATTTATCTATTCTCTTTAAATTTAAAAAACCTTCTTATAACACGAAGGAAAGCACGTTCGTAAGAAATAAATGATCTAACAGTGTTTTCAATAATATGATAAAGTAAAATAATTTCAGATTAGCGTTACTCAAATTTTCCACATTTAGTTCAATTCCTACTATTTATTATCTAAGTGTCGTCGATATGTGTTGCATTGTCATTCATGTACTGTGTCTTAAATATATTGTGATTTTCGGTTAGATTTTGTTTTCCTTGATTAAGAAAAGCAAGAAAATGTTGCTTCAATGAGCTATCTCAATCCAAATATTAATCGTCTAATAAATTATCCGTTATTTATTAAATATTCATTAATTTATTATTTTCTTATATCTTTAAGCAAAATATAAATGTAAACGTTAATAGTTGCAAAAATATCTCATTGAAGGACGTTGTTTCTTTATAGAAATATCAATTAACTGATATGTCCACAACCCGTTTCTTTATACCAAATATGAAATGCATAAGATCACACTGATATAATGTATTGTTTCCTTAGCTTGGTACGATTATGGCCTAACACAGTATCAAACCGAACGACAAAATACAGAATTGGAGCGCGTGTTCGACGAACGTCACCAAAGCGTTTCCCAAGGAATCGAAATTGCCACCGAGCATCTTGGTCCTAAAGTTATCAAAGAACCTGAGACTGAATGGCAAAAATCTGTAAAGAGTAAGAAAAATGAAGATTATTATAATAAGCTGATGAATCTTGAAGAAGAACAAATGCTCAAAGAGACTAGATTAAGGGAAGCTTCGCATCAGTTTGCTATTCCCGGCGACAAGGTTGTTGCACATTCCTTAGCAAAGGGAATGGCCCAAAAGTATGAAGAAAGTTTGTAAGTATTATAACAACATAATAAATTTGATAATAATTGCATATCTGACATTTGGCAATAACAATTGCTGATTATTGATTTCTCATAGGGAGGAACAACCTCAGCAAGAATCGGTACAACCACCTCCGAAATACATAAAAAAACCGTTTGTCACCGAGATAGATATAGATACAGAACGCGTTAAAACTTCGGGAAAATATCCACCAGAACCATCTGAATCCACAGTTCATGGCCGTGAAGTTCACGTTGCTAAACAAAAACAGACACAAAAGGAGGTCAAAGGTGACGTAGAAATAACGAGAAAAATTACAGCAACGGAAACTACGGAAGTAGAACATAAAGCAAAAACGCAGGAACGTGTAGTGCAAGGTCAAGTCAAACCTGCCAAGCCGCCAATTTTTACGAAGAAGATTCAACCCTGTAGAGCGTTTGAGCAAGAACAAGCTAAATTTGAAGTCGAATTTGATGGCGACCCATTACCGACTATCAAATGGTATCGCGAAGATTTTCCTATACAAAATTCTGCTGATCTACAAATTTATACTTTTAGCACCAAATCGGTATTAATTATCAGACAAGTTTTTATGGAAGACTCTGGTGTCTTTTCCGTTATTGCTGAAAATAGAGGAGGCAAAGCCAAATGTAGTGCCAACTTAGTCGTAGAGGAACGCAGAAGACAGCCTGGGCGAGGTGGCACGATACCACCTAGTTTCTTATCCACGATTCAATCCACTTCTGTAGCTACTGGACAACTTGCTAGATTCGATGCCAAGATTACCGGCACTAAACCGCTGGATGTTTACTGGCTTAAGGTAAAATGCAAACACGCGCGCGCGCGCGCGCGCGTGTGTGTGTGTGTGTGTGTGTGCGTGCATTATAAATTTGTTAGTTGATTTTATGTGCGTAGTGTCAAAGCATAGAATTAAACATTTTAATTGATTCAAAATCGAATATTTTTTTTATTGCAGAATGGTAAAAAAGTAACAGCGGATATCCGTTATAAAACTTTGGAAGAAGATAATATTTATACACTACTGATTCTGGAGACAGTACCAGAAGATACTGCCAAGTACGAATGTGTTGCGATTAACAGTGCCGGAGAAGCGCGTTGCGAAGCAGAGTGCACCGTTCGTGGACCTCAATCTCTAACAAAGATTGTAAAACCAACAACGCCAACAATAGAAAAAGCGCCAACTGTTCTGGAACCATTAAAGGATCAAACCATTAAGGAAGGAACTTCCGTCGCTTTCGCCTGCAGGATTATAGGAAAGCCTGTTCCTACTGTGCAATGGAAAAAAGCTGATAAGGTATCCAATGTTACAATAATAAAGACATATATATA